CTCCAGCTCCAGGGGATCTGATCAGTGCCCTCTTCTGGCCAAATGAGGCACCATCAATCACATGTACCTATTTACACATAATTTAAAGTGAAAAATTTTTTTAAATATGAAAGCTAGTTCTTAAAACAAATTTCAGTTGAAAGAAAACTATATTTTTTTCTTTGATTTTATAAAATAAGTGGGGTATTTTTATTCTAAATAAATATACAAACAGACTAGGCTCCCAAAAAGCCAGTACATGCAGTAGAATCAAAACCCAGGGCCATTATCATTGGCTTCTCAGTCAGCCTTCATTGTCAACCACATTCAGAGAGTCCGGTCTGATCACATGCTCATTCAGTCCCAGTCCAGCTGGCCTTGGTGAGCTTCCATTAGATCAGTCACAATGTCTCTGTGGGCAGACACACCCCTCGTGGTCCTGACTTCCTTTCTCATGCTCTCCCTCCTTCTGCTCTTCTGAACCTTGGGAATCTGGACCTTGGGAGCTCAGTCCAGTGCTCCAGTGTAGGTTTCTGTCTCTATCTCCATCCATGTCCGGATGAAGGTTCTATGGTGATATGTAAGATATTCATCAGTGTGGCTATGAGAGAAGGCCAGTTCAGGTACCCTCTCCTCTGCTTCCCAAGGACCTACCTGGAGACATCCCCTTGGACACCTGGGAACCGCTCTAGAGCCATTTCTCTTGTCAACCCTAAAATGGCTCCCTTAGTTAAGATATCTTCTTCCCTGCTCACATATCCACCCTTCCTCCATCTCAACCATCCCATTCTCCCAAGCTCTCCCCAATCATCCCCTTCTCCCTTCTCTCTCACCATCTCCCCTTATCCCCACCAAATCCCCACCCCCATGCTCCCCACTTTTGTCTGGCAATCTTGTCTACTTCTAATATCCAGGAGAATAAATACATGTATTTCTTTGGGTTCACCTTATTATTTAGCTTCTCTAGGATCCCAAATTATAGGCTCAATGTCCTTTGTTTTTGGCTAGAATCCACTTATGAGTGAGTACATACCATATCCCTTCCTAGACCTGGATGAAGGGGGGAGGGCCTTTGACTTCCCACAGGGCAGGGCACACTGGCTTCTCTTAGGACTGGAGGGAGAGGGGGAGCGAGGAGAGTAGGAGGGTAATAAGAGGAGGGGAGGAGGTGGAAATTTTTAATAAATAAATAAATTTTACAAAACATTGGATATAATTTAATAACAGCTGTTTGTAGTTTTGAGTGCTATTATAGATAAGTTGGGGTCTGTAAAGTAACCTTTTCCCTTCAAATAACTCAATTCAATTATTCTTCTGTAAAAACAAAATAAATAAATAAATAAACAAATATAGAACTAATAATCAAAGAAATTGAATAATTGAAACCTGACAATGGAATTGTTACAGAGTAATCATTTTGATTGACACATTAGGATTGCTGTTATACCATGGAATGTTCATTGGACATGTTGCACAGAACACAAAAAGAGACACTGAGTCCAAAAAGCAAAACATGCAAACCTTTAGAAAGATAATCATAAAACATCATAAAAGGGGAAGCATTTATGAACCCTCAAATGAGGACACACACTTTTAACCAAAGCACTAGAAGATAGACCTTTGAATTCAAAGTCAACTTGGCCCACAAAATGCGTTTCAAGACAGCCATAGCTACAGAGAAACGGTCTTGGGCGGATATGCTCTTGCTCAGCTTTCCGTGCTGTGGTCAGATAGATGCATCGAGCCTCCTACAACATCCTGTAAGTTTTATTCTGGCTTTCCCTCTTGTCAACTGACGCAGCACTATGCTGTCTGTGCACCTAAATCTTGTGTGTACTGGTGAGTCCTGCTGGGAATGAAGGGTGTGCAATAACAGGGTGGAAATATCATCATGGGAGGCTAGATCTTTCCACAGAAGAAACACTGGCTTCCGTGGTTGATATCGGTGTATGAGTTGATCATAATGAAGTGAGCTCTGACTCTACTGTACAGAGATCCAACAGGGACCAGGGTATCAGATCACTAGGCTGTTGGAAGGAGATAGATCATCCATCATGAGCTTTTCTTTCCAGGCTTCATCCTACTCCTGAAGACTTTGATACAAGCAGGTGAGTCCAGCCATAGCCTTGAGATACTAAAACCCATGCCAATACAGAAGTTTCATTCCAACGAGAGAGTAGGCATCACGGTGTGTTATCTGGTGGAATCTGTGAGTGAATCTTTGGTTAGTGTCCTGAACTATGAAATTAGGACCTTGAAAACACACCTCTCAGTCCTGTCCCAGATTGTACCGGACACTGGCCCTGGCTCAGTTAGGCATCAATTTTGATCAGACAAACATTTTTGTTTTTGTTTTTATAAGACAGGGTTTCTCTATGTAGCTCTTACTATCCTAGAACACACTTTGTAGACCAGGTTGCCCATGAACTCAGATATTCACCTGTCTTTGCCACCCAAGCGCTGGAATAAATAAATAAAAGAGAGAACATAGCTGGGAATGGTGGCCCACCACTCAGAAGGAAAAGGCAGATGGATCTCTGTGAGTTAGAGGCCAGCCTGGTCTACAAGACCTAGTTCCAGGACAGGCTTGAAAGATACAGACAACCCCTGTCTCAAAAACTATATATATATTAAAAGAGTGGGCCATAACACCTGAAGAATAATCAATGCTTATGAATAAAAATAGTCTTTCCCTTTCTACCCTATCACCTGACCATCCCCACTTATTTTTGATATTATGATGCTATAATTTATTACTTTTTAAATATGTGTATCACTTGA